ACAGACCTTACTGCAATGATATGAGTTATTAAATGAGAGGGCTTGGTTCATCAGTAGTGAACCCTCTCAGCGGTTTCGCCAAATTAATCTCTAGACCGCTCTACTATTGTATTGGACTGGTTTTGTTATATACCCTGCATTTTCTATGGAAGGCAGCTTAGGGGTGTTTAGTGAACTATGGACATAAGCTTATAGGTCTGTAGAGGTGCATACATATAGTTTCAAGGTATTGCATCGAGCAAAAGAAACGCATTGCCAGTAAATTTATTTGTGTAAAATTTTAAAAATTATAATGTAGAAATTTATATAACATAGGGGTATGGAAAACAGAAAGTAAACTTTCTGTTTACAGAAATTAAACAAATTCTGATAACTTATTGTTTTGAAATTGCAATCTGTGAGCTGACACCTGCTCAAAATTCTGTTGCTTTAAAAATCTAAGCATTAAAATATCAAGTTCACTATAAGCCTAGTTTGTTGTATATATTTTTACATCTCAAAGTCTCCATTATATAGGAATCAAATTTTCAATGGAATAAAATTGAGGATTACTCTAGGTCTTTTTAAGGGAAGGTTTGCTATATCCTAGGTTCGTCTTAGTGGGGTTTTACTGTATATTTAAAAAAATCACAAATATATAGGAAATATTTTTTAAAATATGGCTATTAATGGTTTGGTTTGGAAGAAGGCCATGAATGTCTACATGTGTACTTTGACCTTTGTTAATTGGGTAAAACCAAGTCTAGGTGAAAGAGAGCTGGTTGTGTAGAAATAAAGAGATTTGTTTTTTAACAAAGAGAGAAAGCTATATATAATAGAATAGAGGCTAGTCTTTCTGACCATGTAAATAAGTAAAGATTTGAATAAGCTTATATATTTAGAAATAAAGGTAGATAAAGCTAAGAGAGAAAGAGGCAGAGACGCACCTTGGACTCACATACACAGGTTGGCATGCAAAGAGATTAGTTAAAATAGGCATTACAGATATGGCACATGGTTACATGCATAGTGGATGGATGGACACTCATGCACAGCCAAGGTTGGAGGACAAAGTTGCAATTACACACTTCGTTAACTCTATGTAATTAGTGCATGGGGAACATTTAGCAGTAGTTACAATTAACAAAAATGTTTTTTTTTTTCAAAGTAAATTTGTTACAGTTGAGTCTATATACTGTTAATTGGGGCTAACTTTAGCTTTTGGAGAGGCCCAATGTAAGAAAGATGTAATTTCATTAATGTAAAGAAGAGGTTTGTTACATAGCTTCTGTAGCTAAGAACTCCTAGTAATTAGAACCTGCTGAAAAAGCTCAAATAAGCCCCAACTAACAAATGTGTTGTGTAAAAGCATAAAAAAGTTTATAAACACAAGGTAATAAATCCAAATTACAAATAAATATGGTCTTATTACCTTATGTTTATAATCTATAATCCAAATTGTGCCTTATCATTATAAAAAAAAAAGTTTGTAGAGATGAAAATATATTTCAAGAGAGATTGTTTTTATTATTTACATCAAGAAATGTTTGAAAACTATAAAAATACAACAAAGCTTTTACTACAGCAATTACTACAGTCCCTACTACAGCAATTACTACAGTCCTGCCCGCACTTTTTCCCAGTAATAGAGTATTTAACTAATGTGGGCTCAAATACTTTCATCTGTTTACATCCTCAAATAAATGATGGGCGCCACAAGAATATCTCTGTTCAATGGGTTCTCATGAAAATGTTATTAAAACAATAAACCACTGTTTGCTTGTTACCATTATATAAGCCTACAACTCCTCCTTTACCGGTCCCAAGCCCGGATGAAAAAGGAGGAGGGGGAGCAGTAACAAGCTCACTAAAAAACCTGGGCTCAGCTGGCCCGGCTGATAGTACCCTGTAAGGGCTCCTAATCCAGGGATACAGGATGAGCAGCGTCTGTACTCCATGTTAGAAGCGGCTGCACATGGCGTCTGTTCCTCATATCAGAGGCGGCCATTTTTTTTTGGAGCTAAGTCGGCCTGCCACTGAGTAGTGCTCCCAGTCTTAATGACAAAGGCAGATGCATTTTACTTCACCCAGTGTGGAGATAAGAAAGAAGAAGAAGATATAAGCCTGCTATGGAACAACTCTGTGCACATATTTGGGGGAAAGTGTTGCATCAACTTCTTTATTTTGTCCCAACATTTCACTACTACCCTCCTCAGTATAAATATTGCAGCGAGTTACGCAGATTCTGGAACAAAGATTGGTTGTGAAGCAACAGCTTTCTATAACAATCTTCAAACTAGAAAATAATTTTTGTGTAAATTAAGATTATTTTTATAAAAACAAACCTACACAGAGGGTAGTGTAGATGTTAATTCTGGAGTAGATAATCTCTGCTGATGGATACTAAAGGTACAATAGACATGTTTTTTCTTATCCCCTCTTGTGTAAAGATTATACAAATTCCATGAGTTCATGCTCCTCAAGCTAGTTTTGTTAGTAGACAGCTGTAGCAACATTCAGGAAGTGCTAAGCCTAGTGTTATAGTCACTATATTTCTCTTAATAATATCTAGTCATGTTAACACACAGAGAGGTATATGGCCAACTAAATGGGAGGTGTATCCCACAAGTCAGTTTGTGCGATTACACCATTTCTTCTGCCAGTACTCTAGTTAGAGGAGGGTAGTATATAGAGAGAATCAACATTTGAAAATTATCCTACAAATGTTTCTTTGAACAAATATATTTTTCTATTTTCAAATGTTATTTCTACAATCATAAGCCGCATTATATCTCTATATATATAAAAATGAATGTTTGTATGTTTGTCTGTTGGTCTGTATGTCCGGTATACAAATTCGCAGTAGTTCACTAATTCAAACCAAAATTTCCATACATAGGTAAAAAAATACGGGGAAGACGATAGGCTATTTTAAAAAATATATAAATCAATTATTAAAACTATATATTTTTATTCAGAAAATGATGATGACGATATTGCTGTATCATGTTTGATTATCAGCTACAAAATTATATCGGGAAAAATTCCAAAAAGCAGAGACCACGGGTGAAACCAGTTCATTATTTTGGAAATACGCAGGAACAAAATTCTAACAGAAACACATTCATTCGAGCAGAAAACAAAGCCAGATCATCTTTCTATAAAAATATCACTTCTCAGACACAAAGTTTGGAGCGGGACGTTTCACAAGAGTGACATCCACGGCGCCAATTTATAATTGTAACAAATAGTATTTGAATAAAAACATTTAATCGGGTAAAACCCGGGCGTTGCCCGGGTCATTCAGCTAGTTGTATTATATAGAGAGAGAATACTGATTTGGTTACCTTGTGTCTGACAGTTTGCCTATTCAAACTAGCGGACAAACAACTCACCTCTGAAATGTAGAACTATAATTAAATCCTCAAAATGGGGTCATGGAGTCCCTTGGGTCATATTCAGCTAGTTCTATAAGCAAATAAGTAACATATTCTCCAGCAGAACCCATATTTTATTTCTACAAAGCTATGATGATGCTTAATGATAATGAATTAATACCTTGTTCATTTGAATTGTCATCACCAGTGACAAGCGAAAATTTTCTGAAAGAGTAAAATTTATATAAACTGCTTTTGTAGGACTTAAATGACAGTAGAGGGTGGAGATGTGAGATGTTTTTTCCCTTTTTAATTTACATTTGGTAAAGTTAAAGTCAATTAGTGAAAAAATATAGTCTAATACGCTTTTTTTTTCCTACTAAGGTAAAGATTGGATACAAGAAAATAAGACCTAATCCATTTAATTTTCTTGTATCTATAATTCAAATTATGCCTCATCATAAGGTAAAATTTTAAAATAAGGCTTTAAAGTGATGGTGGTTTAGACAAGTACATAGACATGTTCTAGTATTATTATAAGAATGCACAAGACATGAGTCTTGAGACACAGTCATAATGGTTGTCAAACAAGCTTGATACCCTAATATGATTGAGTGGAGATAAGAAAGAAGAAGAAGAAGACAAGACATGAGATGAAGCAATATTAATATCACATTTTTATAACCCCAAAATAAAGTTTTTTTTTAGTCTGATATTTGAATATTCAGGGGTGTAAGTAAATTCCTTTAATTTCTAACCATGTCACAAAAATGTGAATTAGTCATTATTTAATTTTATTAGGCTTTGTACAATATAATACACTGCGGCCTGTGATTGTAAAACGACACTTGAAGTTTCACCGCATGAGTTTCGTTTTAACGAAAAATCAAATTTTTATTTCAAGGTGAAATATCGACTATTTCTAACCTTTTTGGATGAGGTATGAAAGGATGAATAATGAAGAGTAATGACGAACGAATTCATCCTTTCATACCTCATCCAAAAAGGTTAGAAATAGTCGATATTTCACCTTGAAATAAAATTTTGATATTTCGTTAAAAAGAAACACATGCGGTGTAACTTCAAGTGAGGCTTTGTATATAGTCTATATTTGAACAGCATATTCATATATTCAACTACTTGTTAAATTTATATTTTATATCGGAAGTGGGTTTTAAAGGAAAAGTATCCTTTGAACTTTCCTTTTATATATTAAAACAAAATAGCATATCTTGACTGATCACATGATCTTTTTAGATAGTAGAGTGCCCATCTAGTGGACAGAAATATTTACATCATTTTTTCACATATATTTATATATGACCCCATGTTCTGCTTGAGTGAATGTTCCCCAAAAGAACTTTGTTTCTGCCCATCAAACATGATGCATTAATATTAAATTTTTTTTTTTTTACTTATCCCTAGTACACGTGGTACAGGCCCATGATAATCATGGTGGGTAGTTAGCGACTGCTTTTTACTGTAAGCACACCACATGTCTACACATGTGAAAAGCAGTTCGACTTTGCACTTATAAATGTGCCAGAGCCCCGTTTGGTTACTTGCACTCGCTGGTGGGGTTGGACTTTTGCAAGAATTGGGGGCCATTGGAGCATTTTTTTTTTTTTTTAAATCACAAAAAAATGTCCAATGCGGGAATTGAACCCGGGTCGTTGTGGTCGAAAACCAAATGGTTTAACCAGCCTTCTACCGACATATTAAAAGTAAATTAGTCCAGTTCTAGGCTAAACATACATTAGCTTTATACAGTAAAACCCCTCTATAGTGAACCCCATTGGGACGGGACTTTTGGTTCACTATAGCCACGGTTCACTATAGCCACGGTTTGGGTATTTAATTTTTTTTTTGAGGATATAATTAAAGGGCATGCGCAAAAAAAAAAAAAAAAAAGGCTACCTCTTAATATTGGCTGCTTTTTTCCCCCTAAAAATTAACCTATTTCTATATATTAAAGCTGTATATTAAAATAAAAACAAAATCATGTGAAAATATTGCCTTTTTGATCAATTCCTCTGATAATTTAATTAGTATAAATGCAACCTGCCCCCCATATGTCAAAAAAAAATCCAAGAAAAGTATACCTTATATATAAAAATTAAATAAAAACTTTATTAATAATATTTTTAAAGGTATAAAAATATATTTTATATAAATAAATATTATATTACAATATAGGATACAAAGGCTTAATTGAAGAAGTCTGTTATTTTTTTCTGCTTTAACATATTCCTCAAAAATTTGTTTCATATCTAGCAAAGAAATTTTCATTTTTTAAAATGACACTGACGATAGCGGCAATAGTTGGGATTGATTCCTCTTTGTAGCATTTTTTTTTTTTATAGTCTTTTTTGCCCCATATCGTAGAAATGCTACTTTCGCTCATTTTCATTTTCTTCCGAAGTTCCGCTTGCGATGTACCACTCTCAATAGCTTTTATGATGGTTAATTTCTTTTCAAGTGATATCTTGGTACGAGCGACTTTTTCTTTGGCACTTCCATTATCTTTTAAAACTGGTTTTAATAATTTAATTCATGTTTTAAGGAATTTTCCTAATGTAGAGTTAAGAAATTTGGTTTTCAATAAGGCATGAAAATTTATAAAAGAACGCAGTATAAAATTAGAACGTAAATAAAAACACCCAATGTCGCTAGATTCTTTGTTTTGAATTGCGATCTGTGAGCTAGAGCTCACACAAAATTTTAATTAGTTTTGAAAATTATAATTTTGGAATTTTAGAATTAAAATTAAAAGTTCGTTATAAGCATGGTATTTTTGATAGAATTTAATATTTTGGGACCAAAATTGGGTTCGTTATAGCGATAGTTCGCTAGTTTGAAAAGTGAAAAGTTCGTTATAACGATGGTAATTTTAATGAAATGGAATTGGGATTTTCGATGGGTTCGTTATAAGGGAAGGTTCGTTATATCCGTGGTTCGTCTTAGCGGGGTTTTACTGTATGTTGTGAGAGAGATTATCACCACTCAATCTCACCAAGCTTGTCATTACTTTCTTTCTATTCTCATAACCTAGTAAAACTCGCAGTATTTAATATTGTCTAATTGGGATATAACTTTTAAAAAACATCTTTATTAAAACACCACCCTAGAACCAACAACTACATCCCCAGTATGAAGTTGTTGTTGTTGTTGTTTCTTATCCCCTTGTGTAAAGATTACACGAATTCCATGAGTTCATGCTCCTCGAGCTGTTTTATGATGAGCAGCGGCCTCTCCCAAAGGTCCTGTTTAGTGCATCTAATGCAAGCCAAAATGTGTTCTGGAGCTGCAGGTACCAAACTACATTTTGGGCAAGTGGGATAAATTTTGTTATTATTTTCTATCTTCAATGGCTTGAGATGGCCTGTTCTAAATCTTGTTAGTGTTGTTTGATGCTGTCTATTCCAGTATGAGGTTGTATCACCTAGTTGGCTTATTTTGAGTTGAATCAGTGATTGAGAAACTATGTTGTTGTTGTTGTTTCTTATCCCCTTGTGTAAAGATTACACGAATTCCATGCTGATCTCATGGAATGGGGTGTAGGGGTGCAGCTTTCGTTGATCATGGCACCATGATCCAGGCACACTTTGGTGAAAGTCTGACTTTGTCTGTAGTTTGAGGCCGTTCCTAACATGGAAGCAGACGCCTTTGCTGACGACTCTAACATGAGTACAGACGCAGCTCCTCCGTATCCCTGGAGTGGGACCCTTGCTGAGGTCTATCAACTAGGTCAGTTGAAGTCAGGATTTTTAAAGAGGTCTACTCCTCTTCTAACAATGCTGCTGTTGGTCCGCGACTGCTTATTCGTCAGTTATTCTGCATGTTTCGCAGCTGGCCTTCATATCTGAAGGTCGTTCCCCTATCCGCCACCTGGGGACGCGCCCTAGTATGTAGCTGGTAGAAGAGAGAATAGATATTTGACCTTATAACAAAAGTTTTACTTTAAAATAGTGATAACCCCCTTTTTTAAATCACTAAATATATTAGTAATACAGTACAACCTCCCTTTAGTGGACACCCCGCTAGTGGACACTTCTCTACAAAGGACAGTTTTCATTTGCAAAATTACCATTTTTACTATTTAGCAACTCTCCGTTAAGAGGAGACCTCTCCCTAAAGGACACTTTTGCTCTGCAATTAGGTGTCCTCTACAGGGAGGTTCTACTGTAGCTTGATCTTTTAATATTTTATAAAAACGATCAATTTTATTTAGTCTTTCAATTTTTTTTTAATAAGTGAGTCAGGGAACTTAATGAGATCTCATACCTTGCACATATATGTCATAATTTGTACATAACTGGATGTAATCCCGCCCCAATATGTATGCAATGTACAATCTAAAGATTTTAATAAAAACAAGGCCTAGAAATCTGGGAGAAAGGTTTTAGAGAGAAAGGCCATCAAAGAGGAAGCAGTCATTAGCAGGTTTTATTATCCAGGAACTCATAAAACTGGGTTCAAGAACCTAGTATTTCCGGGATCAGGTCAGAACAAGCTAAGAACAAAGAATTAGCAGAGATCCAATGAGAGTCCAGGAGGATTAGCTAGGAACCAATGGAAAGCTTACACGAGACAACCAACAACCAATGAGAACCCAGAGAGGTTTTCGTGTTAAATTGGGAACTGAGATTAGTTAGTCTGGAACGTGCCGCCGTTGAGACCAGTTTGGAGCCAACCCCCATCTTCTCAACCAATCAGATAAGTCCAATTCTCAATAATGTGAACAGTCATAGTTAATAGTCAATCCGCAACTAGCCTCAACTCCTTTCTCCCTAGATCGCTTGCCTTTTTCAATCCAAATCCTGTGTCCTTCGTTATTTTCCCCTGTGAGAACACCTTGCCACTTCAGCAAAACGACTGCGCCCACCACAATTCAATCAATCAATCAACGACTCAACCCATCTCAAAAAGGTAATCGTCACGACGTTACAGTGAGTCGACAGGATTCTACAGTGTAATACAGTAATACTTTCAATATGTTACATATATATATAACCCCTTTATAGTGAACCCCCATTAGGATGAACTTTTGGTTTACTATAGCCACAGTTCACTATAGCTGCAGTATGGTAATTTTTGTTTTTTTACTTTTCAAAATTTTTAGATTAAAGGACAGTAATACTCACAGAAAAAGACTGCCTCTTAATAATGGCCACTTTGTTTTAATTGCCTATATTTATTAATTTGAATTTGGTTTTATTACCTTGTGTTTACATTAATGCGGAATAACAAAATGGCCACAAAATATCATGCCAAAAGAAGAACTTTTTTTACCATTTGCATATACTTCACAAGTCTAATTTTAAAAATCAATAAGCTGATTCTTTTTAATTATTTATTAAAAGAAATTATTTTTTAAAAACAACTTTATCATATTATACAATGTAATAAAAAGTTTACTTTAAAAATGTCTCTAATACTCTGTGGCTTTAAAGCATTCTTCAAGCATTGCCCTTTCAAATTAAGTTAATAATAAGGCACAATTCGGATTATAAATTAAAAACATAAAGTAATGAGGCCAAATATAAATAAATAGTGTGTGATGTTTTGGTAAGAGCGTTGTAGCCACATCTTCAGACAAAAGTACTGAAGGAGAAATTATACCATAGAATGTTTTAAATTGTTGTTTAAATGGTTATCAAGTGTGTAAACAAATAAAGTTAATAAGTATTTTTCTTATATTCCCAGTTTCCACATATTCTTCTGAAGTCTAGATTTCATTTTATTTTGAACCAGTCATGAAAACCATTGCTGACTTTAAAGCCACCATAGTTCATGGCGTAAAAAAAAATCTTTTGTTGCATCATGGGCTCGCTTATTTGGATGTTTTTAAGGCTAATTCAAACTAGCTAGATATAGAACACTTCTAAAAGGGGATATTAATAAATATAACTGCGGCAAAAGTTGGGGTTAATTCCTCTTTGTAACATCTGTTTTAGCCTTCTATTTTAATCTCTCGTATGATAAGGTAAATTTGGATTATAGGTTAGAACTACAAGGACCAAATCCAAATAAATAAATAGTGTGCGATGTTTTGGTGACAGATTGTATAATATTGCATGGAAAAACCATGTAGCCCTATTTCTCAATACATCAACAACCATAAGAAACCCCAATTACAATAAAGAGCAGGTTTGATTTATTAAGTGAAATGTAAAAAGTGTGACCAATGCTATGTAGGATAAACGCTGGTAACAATGCTTTTAGGGAAACGTTACACACTATTTATTTATATTTGGTCTTGTTACCTTGTAGTTTTTATCTCTGGAAGTAGAAAAGTTATATTTTTATCATTTTAACATTCTGAAATTTTGCCTTAATTGTTTAAATTTGAAAAGCTCTGATATATTTTTTGTGGCAACTTGTTTTTAATTTTTTTTAAAAGAACACCTTTTTTTAGCTTTTTCCTTATTTTGGAAGCCATTTTTCTTATTTTCATTTTTAAATTTGACAAATGCAAAGCTATTCTATTAAATAAAAACATTAATATAAAAATGTATATAACGTGTGACAAAAATAGTAAATGTAAACAAAAAATGTTGCTTAATTTATTGTTTTGAAATAGCAATCTTTGACTGAAACATGTGCACACAAAAAACATTTTTAAAAATCTATTAATTAAAATTTTCATTTCATTAAGCCTAGTATTTTAACTAGAATTTATTATTCTGGTATCTAAGATTAGGTTGGTTATAGGGCAGCAGTTTGTTATACCAATGGTGTTTTCAATGGAATGG